ATTTTTCTTATCACTATAGCATTGTTCTAAAATATTTGTTACATTTGTTACTATACTGTTCATTTTATATTTAAAAAGTATTCTTTAAATACTTTAGGGGATAACTAAATGTTCTTTTAGTAGAGAGATAGTTTTGTAATTGAGTTATATGGTTATGTCTATGATCTAAACTGTGCATTTTTATTATGAAAAAGTGATATATTTAGTGTTGGATTGACTGAAAAAAAGAAGGTAGTTAAGTCTGCAGTGTTGTAGATTAATTCTTCAAAGAAATAAGGTGCAGGAGCCTTCCTGGTAGCACAAAGGGTTTTTAAGACGCAACCTATGAAGCTATTTGCAGCCACTGCAGCACCAGTCAATCCCTGGCCAAGGAGCTACCCACATGGCATAGCAGACCTCTCCTGACTCGCTTGCTGCTCCCCTCAGCAGTGTATTTCAGTCTGTTTGCATGTTCTGTTCCCCACTCTGTCTCTGGTGAATCCTCTCACCCCCGACACCTCTGGCCTATACCCCCGTTCTTGTATGCATAAATAAATAAATCTTTAAAGAAAAAAAAAAGAACAATTTATAAAAAACAAAAAAACAAAGGAGTAAGGTGCAAATAAACTTTATTAACAGAAAGTGTATGTCATGCCAGAGGTAAAAGTTGCTTCTAGATCTGTGCCTGGAAAACAAAACTCACATGGAACTTTAAAATAATCAAGGAAACAATTTTTTAAAATTTATTATTATTGAAGTACCATTGTTTTACGTCATTGTTAAGGTTTTGACAGTATAGGATTTTCCCCCTCAGGTGTATTCACAATAGGACTCACACCATTGAAGTATCCTATAGTCCCCCACCATAGACCATGGTGTTCTCCCTCTCCCCACCAACCCTTGTTCTCCCACTTCACTCTTACCCCTCTAAAAGTGCAGATCTGTGGTCAGCTTTCAAAAGTTTATTTTAAAGTTAGTCTTTTTTTTTTTTAAAGATCTACTTACTTATTTTTATATAAGAGCTGAGGTACAGGCCAGAGGTGCGGGAGGGTGAGAGGCTTCACCAGAGGCAGAGCAGGGAGCAGAACAGGCAGACGACAGAAATACATTGCTGAGGAGAGCAGCGGGCAAGACAGGAGAGGTCTGCTGCGTTGTGTGGGATTCTCACCAGCCGGCTGGGATCGAAGCTGCGCTGCCAAGGCTGTGGACAGCTTCACAGAGAGGCTCTCAACCCACTATGCCACCAGGGAGGCCCAAAAGTTGGTGTTTTTCTGACCCTTTGTTTGGTTTCTTTAGATTGCACCATTATGTGACACTATTCGGTATTTATCTTTCTCCTGATTTATTTCACTTAGCATAATCCCTTCCAGCTCCATCTACATTGCCAAAAATGGCATGAGTATCTTTTTTGATTGCTGAGTAGTATTCCATTGTATATATACACTGCATGTTCTTGATCCATTCATCTGTTTGGAGGCATTTAGGTTGTTTCCATATCTTGGCTTTTGTAAATAGTGCTGCAATAAACATGAAGTACAGGTTTCCCTTTTGAATTACTGGTTTTTTGTTCTTTGGGTAGCACCTAGGAGTGGAAGAGCTGGGTCATATGGGAGATTCGTTTTTAGTGTTTTGAGGATCCTCCACACTGCTTTCCAGAGGGGCTGGACCAGTTTACATTCCCACCAATAGTGTATGAGGGTTCCATTTTCTCCATACTCATGCCAGCACTTGTTTCTGGGCTTTTTGATATGGGCCATTCTCACAAGTATCAAGTCGTTTTGATTTGTATGGGACAAAATATTTCTGATAGTTGTCTGATATTAAACACACAGATCTCCTTATGATGTTGGTAACAGGTAAGGAATTTAAATATTAAAAATGTTCTGGTTGTCAGCTTTTAAAGGAAAGTTTGCCCTATGGATTAGGTACTAGGAAAAGTATTTTTGAAACAGAACAAGATCAGGAAAGGCTCAAACCAGGATTTAAAATAATGAAAACTTTGAAAAAGATTAAAAAGAACTTTGAGGGTTAATTTGTAACCATTTAAGTAAGCAATTGCAATTCTATTTCATATTTGGAAAACATTCTCAAACTGGTCTTTCCATTTTCTTACGATAAATAATTGATATCCACAAATATTTATGGTCCATACACTTTTTAAATTAAAAATGGTAGAGAAAATTAAGCAAGTTTGGCTTTATTTTTTTATAATATTTGCAAATCTTTGAAGTTATCACCTCCCTTTATTAAAAAACAATGATAAAGTGTATTACAGCTGGCAGCCTTAGAATACAGGAGATTTTTCACCCATTTGGATGAGATATTCTGTAGTTCCAACAGTAGGAAAATCAACAAATATTGCCCCTACCATAGTATTTTTTTCTTTGATCTGTGTAGAGATCTTACCTGGGAGCAGCTTGCATTTACTACCTGCCCTTGTGGCTTTATTAACAAGAAAATAGGCATGTTGTCTTTTTTTTTTTTTTTTTTTAAATATTTATTTATTTATTTATTTATTTATACAAGCACTGGGTACAGTCAGAAGCGCGGGAGGGTGAGAGAATTCACCAGAGCCAGAGCGGGGAGCAGAGCAGGCAGAAGGACCGAAGTACACTGCTGAGGGGAGCAGCGGGCGGCAGGAGAGGTCTGCGTGCCATGTGGGACCCTCCTCCGGTGGCCGGGGAGCAGCCGGGGATGGAACCGGCGCTGCAGAGGCTGCCGGCAGCTTCGCAACCCAGCGCTCAACCGCTGCGCCACCGGGAAGGCCCCTATGTTGTCTTTTTTTGAAACCAATCATTTTATTATGATGATGTCTTTCCCATATACCATCTAACTTAAAAATAAAGCCATGACATTGCTTAACAAGCATAGGAAGTATAAATTGTTATTTTCCTACTTGAAATTAAACATTTAGTGAATAGCACTTTATTTCCTAGATTTGGAAACCTAGCCAAAAAAAAGATTTATTTTAATGTCAGATTACAGACTTCTTAAAAAAAGCCAATTTTGATTGATAAATTTTTCTTTATGTACTCTGCTCAACACCATGTTTTATAAATATTTAATGAATACTTCCATTACTAAGCATTTTATATCCCCCCCCAAGACTTTTAAATAAAATAAATATGGGGCATTGGAAATTAAGTGAACCAAAAATGGGAAAGAATAATTGATATACTTTTATGAAATATAAGGAATTTATTGCCTTAGTACTAAGGTTTTATTTCATATGCTCAAACCTCATTCTTTATGCCCCAGCTTTTTTTTGTGGAAAATTTCAAAGATGTACAAAAATAGAAAACCCAGATTCAACAGTTTTTTTTCATGTACTGCCTTCTATCCCCAGGTTATTGTGAGACAAGTCCTGGATATCAGACAGTTTCATTCACAAATATTTCATCTTTTTTCTCTAAAAGATAATCATGTCTTCATCTGAGACATGGAAAAGATCTAGTATGCAGTGAGCACATTATATTTTGAGGGAAGAACACAGTTATTAACAACCTTAGCCCAAATTGGTGTTGAGTGAGAAAATAAGTTACTATAGAAACTATTGACATGCTGATAACTTTAGTACTCCTGAACTAATTTTATTTTTCTCTTAAAATTTTGAGTGCCAGTAATTCCTTCCCTTTGGCTTTTGATGCTTTCTCTGTATCTCCACAAGGGGGCAGATAAAGGAAGAGAAAAATAAAATGTGTATGAATCTGATTTGAGTCTCTTTTATTTAGCAATCAAAGGGAGCTGCAGAACAGTATTGGAGTGATTTTTTCAAAATGTCTTTTCTTCTGAAACAATTTGCAGGACCTCTTTTATTCATCAGAGACAAAATAATAGTTGTTTAAAAAAAGTAGAAGCATTAATCTTTAAAAAATGTTTTTCAAAACACTGTCAACCTTTAATCTGTTATTATTTTGGGTGTCCATGAGAAAATAGAATTTCAGTTTATATATACTTTTTGCCAGTTATGGTTTTGGATAACTATTGTTGGAATTTCTCCTTGAATAATGCGGATGTTGCCTAGTTGATGAATTGTATATTTGATTAGCTGTCTTCATATGTAGACAGCTTTTTCATTTTTTCAAAACCTGTCATTTAGTGAATTGTGTTCATAAGCACCTACAAATATATTATGGTTGCTTTATGTCTGACAAAGTTTGAAGTATGTTTGATAGCAAATACCTGAACTCCATTAAAATATGTTTACAGTCTGAAAATTTTTATTTTTTAAAGATTTATTTATTTATACAAGAACCAGGGTACAGGCCAGATGCGTGGGAGGGTGAGGGGATTCACCAGAGACAGAGTGGGGAACAGAACAGGCAGACTGACAAAATACACTGCTGAGGGGAGCAGTGGGCGCAACAGGAGAGGTCTGCAGAGCCATGTGGGACCCTCTCCGGCCGGCCGGGATCGGACCGGTGCTGCAGAGGCTGCAGACAGCTTCACAGCGAGGTGCTCAACCGCCTGCACCACCAGGGGAGACCCGTCTGAAAATTTTAAATGAACATCTGTAGTTTTATACAAATCAATTCTTACTTTATATGGAATTGATATTTGGATACTCTCTGGTGTAGAGGTTTCTTTCCCAATGAATATATTTCTTTGGGGGGCAAAGCTAAGTTTTCAAGTAGACTGTATATCTTTACATTTTGTGTATGTGGTTTTAACTGCAAAAGATAGGGGTTGGGGGAGGGAATGATGTGATAAATATGCAGAAATTGATTGTTCCTACTTTTGGCATCTGTTTTGCATTATTGTTTATCTTCTGATTATCAAAGTTTCTGTACTTACGCAGCATGACATAATGAAATTATTATTTTACATTCCTATAGCATTCTGTTTTGCAACACTTAATGCCTTTTATTCTTTAGCTTCATGCATGAATTATGTAGCATATGTGAAGAGGCTTAAACTGTTTCCATTGCATTCTTTCTAGATGGCTCCTGTTATATTTAGGATATACTTATACTTTAGACAAAGTAAGAATGTTATTGTTGTTGACCTTGACACCAGATAACTGGGCAGACATTATATAGCTATGTTTGAATCCTCACAAAATGTGCTGTTAAAGCCAACAGAGTGCTGGCGGGAGACTCTTCTGGACCGCAGAGTTATGGAGCTTTTCTTCTCAGTAAGTCTTTTTTTTCATCTCTGCTAGTAAAGGCCACAGATGGTGCCACTAAGACTGTACATGCTTTTGTGTTTTTCTAAAATAAAACAGGACAGATTGCTTTTCTTCGCCAAGGCCTTCTCTTTTAATCAACATATATGCTTAATCAAAAAATACATGGAAATAGTCTTGCTAATTTATTAAAATGTTACATAATTACAAAAAGTTTGCTTAAAATTTGAGGTTCTCAAACTTTTTGGTTTTAGACCCATTTTACATTATTAAAAATTATTTTGGACCCAGAAAGACTTTTGTTTATATGGGTTATTGCTGCTAATATCTTATTAAAAATTCAAACTGAATTTATAAAAAGTTTTAATTCATTGAAAAAAATAGTAATAGCAAACCATTATGTATTAATATAACATTTTAATAATAGAGACCTGTATTTTTAACATTTTTGCAAACCTCTGATTTAAGGCTTTCTATGACAAGCAGATTCTCAGTCTGTTTCTGCATTCAATTTGTTGCAATATTACACTCATGTAACGTTGGGGAAACTGCACTGTATACATGTATGTCAGTGAGAGAGTCTTAACAGTGAGAATGAAAAGACAATTGCTGTTGTGAAAATAGTTTTGCTTTTTCAGATAAGGTTTTAGGAACCTCTTAGGGATCCCTGGACTAAACTTTGATAACTGCTGTTTTATAGTAGTACACTTTTTATATACCAATTATAAGTCAAGAGTTAAATTAGTGTATTGAATAGCAATTTATTTTACCTTTAATCTTGTTTATATTTGCTAAATAAAAGAAACTATGCAATATATTCCTGTGTTTGCCTCGAGGATCCTTAATATAGTAAAGGTCAGAAGTTTAAGGGAAAATATGACTGAGGGAGAGAGAGGGAGGCAGATATACAAGTTAGATACCATGACTCAGGCAAAGGTCCAAATAAAGACCCCATAAAAAGAAAACATGGAAGGTACTTTGCTTAATCCTGTCCTTCAGTTATACTTTTTTAACTTCTCATTTGTTTTAAAAATATTGACTAGCCATACAACTGCCTTTCCTATTTTTATTGAGCCATTTAAAATATTGTAGTTATATGGCATACATTACAAAATACCTAGAATCAGGGTATTTACCCATGGGTAGACATGTAGAAACGTTCAGACTGAGCATTACCTTGCATTTTCTCTAAATGAGAGAAATGCTGTTTAAAAATACCGTGAATATCAAAGACATGATTATAACCAAATTTTAAAACGTCGTCTGCTTTTGGCCTATGGAATTGCTTTGCTTTGTATCCAAGTTCAATTTCTTGTATAATTCAATTGACTGAAAATAGGTCGTGTTCCAGCAGTTTTTGAAAAGGTAAAAAACTTGCTGGCAGCTCTGGAAACAACTACCCCAAATCTGAACAGTTGTCTAGACAAACTGGACAGCTGCTCCTGTCAGCTGTGAGCTACCACATGTAAATAACTTCTCAGTTTGAAGGTTAACCCTTTTTCACTTTGTTAGTTTAATCTTTTTGTGTTTCTGGCCTGTTACTTTTATTTAAGCACTTCTATAAGTTTAATAGGTAAGTATAAATAACAAGTTGCATGGAATTGACACTTTCAATATGATCTTATCTGAACTTTAGAATACTTTTATGTTGGATTCTATCCCTCAGAACTTCACAAATTTCTCAGTTTTTTTCTTCTATAAGGTTCTGGAAAATCACTCTCATTAGTTTTCCTCCTACCTTTTTGACAGATTTTCATTTATGGTCTCTTCTTTCTCTGCTCATTGAATGAATATTAGTATTTTTATTTTAGTTCTAAACTTTGCTGACTAGATATGCTTTCCTTAGGCTATTCTTTCCACCTGTATATCCTGAAGGCCCACTTCTGTACCAGTGTCTACTTTAAATCTATATTAGCATAGGCTTCTCCCAAGTTCCAGAGCCTTACAATCCAAGTACTTACTGAAAATCCAATGGATGTTTTTATTTGGATAACTGACAAACTGTTCATTATTTTCCAGTAGAATTCATCATCTTAGTAACTTGCTTCTCTTTACTCCTATCTTTATTTTTTGTTTTGCTTCCCTATTTAGCTCTCTAGGTATTCTGCTAGACTTTGTTTTTCTTTATCCCTCTTCTTCTTTTGCCAGAATTCAGGTCATGAATTCAATTTTTAATTTGTATGAAATGTTTCAGATATTCTAGAACTACTTCGTAATGCTGACATTGGAAGAAAGGCAAGAATTTAATATATTACATAAACATTAACCATTGGATTTATCAGATTTTTGGTGGCCATATTTCAGAGAACATAAATTAAGTTTGAACATAGGCAGATTTTCAGAAAAGTTTCTTTCTTATTTTTAGTTTATTACATAGTTAACATTAGTTCTCACCTCTAGACCAGGAATAAGCAACCATTTTCATCTGTGGATAGAGAAGAAACTCTGTTCCAAGTTTCCCTGTATCCATTGGTAGATTGTTAACCTGGATATCATGTTTATAATGTTGATTAGGTTCAAAGGCATGATAGAAATTTATATTTTAGAGAAAAGGAACTTACAAATGAGTTATGTTGAAAGTTTATCAATCAGGCAGTGTGGATATATGAATTTGTATATTGTACAAATAATTTGTTATATAAAACTTAAAATGTAGACTATATTTTGAAAAACACATGAGTTGCTCTAATCCACAATTCGGAAACTTCTCTAAAAGCCAGGTCACGATTGTAGGTTTTCTAGGTCATATGTTCTCCAAGGCACCTATTCACCTCACCATTATAATAAAGAACAGCCATAGATGATACCTAAACAAACAGATGTGGGATTATGGCACAGTAAAACTTTTGACTATTGTTAAAATGTGAATTTAACCAAATTTTCCCATGTCTTGAAATATTCTTATCATTTGATTTTGTTTTTCCCACCCATCTAAAAATATAAAAAACATTCTTACTTCACAGGCCATATAAAAACAGGCACGAGGCCAGAGTTGCCCTGTGTGCTGTAGGTTACCAATCTTGTTCTAGGCCAATTAACTTTGTCACTTTTAGTTTTTTAGGTTTCTTAGAACCTTAAGAAGTTCAGGGATTAACTAAAGATTAGTGGAGTCAGTGGTTGAATAAGGATTTATTGAAGATTTGGTCACTCTATCCCAGTGAATACTTAGTATAAAAGTTCCATTTTCAAGTAACTGAATTGCAGAGTCAGCATGATCACAACATGAGATAGAGAATAAGTGTTTAAAGCTGACATTCACAAAACAGGAAAATAAGAGTGGAAAAAGCAAATCCTTGTAGAAAGTTGGAAAATGGTCACAGTGAATGCTGTGGTGGAGCAAGATGAAAAATTACCTATTACTACATAATTTCCCATTGCTATTTTAATGTCAGATCACAGAAATAAACTGTCTTTAAAATCTGAGGATATTAAAAATACTATAAAATTGGAGGGGTATATTTTGGGAGTATCTCCGTCATACAGAGCACTGTGTACCAGGTACTTTGCATCAGTATTGCATTATTGAAATAAAATCTAGGGGCCTCCCTGGTGGTGCAGGGGGTTAGGACACAACCTATGAAGCTGTCCGCAGCCTCTGCTGCATGAGTTCGACCCCCAGCTGGCCAGGGAGCAACCCACATGGCGCAGTAGACCTCTTCTGACTCGCCTGCTGCTCTGCCTGTTCTGTTCCCCGCTCTGTCTCTGGTCAATACTCTCACCCCCAGTGCCTCTGGCCTGTACCCCAGCTCTTGTATGCATAAATAAATAAATCTTAAAAAAAAAAAAGAAAGAAAATCTAGATGAGGTTCAAAATGAATTTAAATATTATTTACATAAAATTTTTGTTTTTAAAAAGTTTCACCATTTATTAGTAAAATAGCAATAATTTAGAATAAAAGGAGATCCAAACAAATTATAAGCCATCTCAGAGTTAATGAAGTGTTTGTATATATTGGTTGGACGAATGAGGGATTGAGTGGTATATTTCAGAGTATGCAACTGTTTACTTCCACTAAAGCAGCATTTATATACTCTTGATTGAACTTGTCTGCTAACTTTAGCAAGGAGCTGTAGCTAGGCATAGTTAGCATAATACAGATGACTGTCGTTGCTGTTTTTAGAAGAAGCAGTATGTCTGACTGACTGGCATCTGTTTCTCTCTTTGTCATAACATGCTGGAGACAGTTCAGTTTTCAAAATGTAGGTAGCCTTCAGTTAAAAATTAATTGGTATGTTTAAAATCATGGTCTATAATATAAAGTGGGCTGAGGAACAATTTTCAAATTTAGTTTTATCCAGGAATTAATTTTCAAGAATTAACAGTTAATTTTTCTCTTACCTCATTCGGCATTATAAACACGTGACCCTTACAAAAGAAGAATTTATTTTTATAGATTAGTAATTCTTTTTAACAGGTACATCGAAAAATCAGAGAAGATTCAGATATGGCACAAGATTCTCTACAGTGCCTTGCCCAATTAGCTTCTCTTCATGGACCCATCTTTCCCGACGAAGGATCACAAGTTGACTATCTAGCACACTTCATTGAGGGATTACTGAATACTATTAATGGGTAGGTATATTTGCCCTTTATAATTGAAAAAGGAGCTTTCTTTATTTTTAACAGTGGAGGAAAAAGAAACCAGTGATTATTTCCTCTTTTTTACATTTTGAAGTATAGTCCTATGGGTAATTTTAAATTAATACATAAAGATGTGCCTTTAAAAATGATTAGGTGATAATATTTCCATGTTTAGAAATTAGTTGTTATAATTTCTTCAATCATCATTTAATAATGCTCATTACTTGATTTTTAGAATTGAAATAGAAGATTCTGAAGCTGTGGGAATCTCCAGCATTATCAGCAACTTAATAACTGTGTTCCCTCGAAATGTTTTAACTGCCATTCCAAATGAACTTTTCTCCTCTTTTGTTAACTGCCTTACACACCTCACTTGTTCTTTTGGGCGAAGTGCTGCATTGGAAGAAGTGGTAAGTGACTATTCTAAAATTATGTCTGGTTTCATAAGCTAATGTGCTGTACCTTGGGAGCATTTTTCCCGACAATTATTTAAGTGAGTGCAAGAATTTCTTAAAATTGCATTTTTGTTGATATGTGCAAATTATTATTTTTTTCAATCTGTGTTTGGGATCGTGACAAAATTTTTTTGATTAAAATTACTTTATTGGATTAAATTTATTGATCTTAGTATTTTAACTGAGATAATTTAGTACCTGAATATAGGAAACAGAATGAAATGCTAATATTAAGAAGTATATTAAGAACTCATTTTAACAAAAAAACACAAAGTTTAAAGTGTGCTGCTAACTTTGTGAGGTGGCTCACAAAGTTATGAATTTTTTGAATAACTTTTTTGAATAATTTTTTTGATTATGAATAATTTTACATATTTTCTGAGAGTTTTAAATTTTTGGACTTCTTTGAAAATTAGGTAAATATACTTTGATTCAAATAATTCTAACCAGTCAAAGTAATTTTTTTGAGTGTGCTCTTTTATTAGTAGTATGTTTTAATAGTTTACCTTAGTAGAAGTTAATTTACTATAAAGATAAGACTAAGGACTTCTACAGATGTTTTGGATACAAATTTTCAAATGCACAATTGAACCAGATTTTTATATTCCAAATATTTCATTTAGTTTAGATTGCTAAAACCCTTGACAATACAGTTTGAGTTTGTAACAGTATTATGAATAACTACATTCATCATGGGAAATAATTGAATTTTTCCTACAAAGTAATTAGTTCGTGAAACTAATTTTTCTTTTTATGAGTTTGATGGCTAAAAGGGGGCCTGTGCATGAGTTGCCAGAGGATTAAATTAAGGTACATCTTTTTCAAGGATTTTTGTAAGGGTAAAAGGAATATTTGCAGATAATCTGTTTGAATTTTGTGTTAAATTCTGATGTATTTTGTTTGGGGAAAGGTTATGGCAACATGTATGAAATTTACATACCCTTTTAGATGTGTTCAGAGATTGAAGGACTTGGGAATAATGGTCTTTATGTAATTGGACACTTCAATGACTTGATGAAGAAAGGAAGCAGGTTAGGAAGATATTTATGTGTTGGAAAAAAGTAGGTAATAGAGATAGAAATCTAAACTTATCATATATAGGATTTTAATTTCTCAGGGTAAAAATTTATGTTCTAAGCTTGCAAATCCAGATAAGTATTTAAGGTATACTTAAGCCCCTTCCAAATGTCACAAATTCTAAGTCAACCAGGTTTCATTTAAGGTGATTTTTACTATATTTAGTCCCTCCTGCCCCTTGCCTTGGTTGTTTTCTCTTCTAAACCAAGAGGATTAAATAGCGTGTTGGCTATATATTTAGAATACACCTTTTAATTTCTGTTTGTGAGTTAAGAATGTTCCTAAAGATTTTAAAGAAGAACTTTTAGAAGTCATATTACATTTTTGGCTTGTGGTTTTTAAGTTCAGAATTTATTTTATTTGACTAGCATACTGACAACTGGGAAGACATTTTTTCTATGAAAGTGTGACATGGAAATGTTGGAAAGCCTAGATACTCTTCAGAGAAGTGTTTATGTATTATGCTTGTTTCATAAGAAATCGTCCTCTAGCTATAATGTATCAAATAAGTTTTATATAATTATTCAGTTAATTAAATTTTCTTAATTTGTTTCTGATATCAATTTTTAATGTTCTTAAAAAAATTGCTACCTATTGAAAATTCAGGGAGGAGTATATCTTGAAGCTTTGCATTACTCCCAGTGAACAGTAATGTTGCTGAAGTTGAGGGCTAAAAAGGAGATCCCTGTATGAGTCACCAAAAGACTAAACAATGTCTTAAATGTCGTATCAGCCTTACATGGTTTTCATTATATCTTGTGTGTTCTGGGGAAGGGGACCTTGGCAGTGTACAGCTAATACCAAGGTACATGAGCAAATTAGCCAAACCAATGTCGAACTTCCCAGGGCACATCTTATGTTGCCTTGGGCACACAGTGATTGTTGTGCTAGTACATAATGCATAGTTGTTGGACTGAGTTGGGAAAAAATCTAAAGAAATTATCTTTTCATTTAAAATAAAAACATTGCTGTGGCAGTCAATGTGGGATAATGAACTTTGGAAGGAGCCAGTGTAGTCCTCGGCCAAGTAATAATAAACTACAGGATTTTGAGCAAATTGCTTAACCTTTTTTATCCATGACATTTCATAGGTATCTAGTATAATCAGCATAATGATTTCTTGTGATATATTATGTGGTGGGTTAGCTATGTGAAAATTACCTGTAAGGTGTGCACAATAAAATATAGAATAATAATGATAAAAGTGAACCTTATGATAGCATTGTCTAAACTATCTTACCAAGTAAGACCAGGTCTTGAATCTTGTTGTTTTATGTAAACCAATAATTTTAATATTTGTTTTCTTTATAATTTTGTGTTTCTTTAATTTTAAAGGACTTTCTTTTCTCAATAGGGAAGTAGATACAGCATACATACTTTTGTTTTACTGTGAAAAAAATTTTTTTAAGAACTGTACCTATTTAGCAGTACTAGTCTCCTTTTAACAAATGTGTATCAGATGGTGATTATTTTGCAGCAATAAGCAAAAAACATCGTCACAGGAAGAAAATACATGGTACAAATGTGTGTTCATGATAGTATATGTCCTTGTTTGGTGACTTTAACCTATGTGTAAAGAGTCTTGTGACTAACCTTCAACCTGCAATACACTGAAAAGTCAGTGCTTAGAAAGAGCAATTCTAGATCCATAAACTGTATGACAAAATAGGAGATTCCAATTAACATCTCTTCTAAATACAACTATAAACTATATTTTGACCACAGAAAATATCAACAGTTCACTCTAGTAACAGGAAACCAAAACACACATTGTACTCCAAGGTTCATGACTTGTCAGTGGTGCTGAGCAGCTTACTGTGAGGGAGTTGCAGACAGATCTGTGGCCATACCACCTGACCCAGCATGCGAGGGACCATGCATAGACCTTGCATGGTGAATCTCAATAGGTGAGCAGAGAACTGCTTACAGGTGTATACACTCATTGAGTTCAGTTAACTCAAATTGAGCTGCCAGCCACCTGGGAAGGGGAGTCCCCCTCCCCATTCCTTGAGGGAGTGTTGAGAGAGATCAGGTATACATTTTATACCAGGAGGGATTTGTAATCTCTGTCTAACACTGGAGACTCCACACAAACCCCACAATACCCTTGCCAGGATTGGCACCAAGCATCCAGTGGTCCACACAAGGCCTGCCTCAAGCACCTGGCACCCTTTGCCAGAATTCACACTAAGTCCTATGTTCCCTGAGCCAAGACCCTCACCACCTGGCTATAGGAATAAGAATGACAAGGAGATAGAGTTCTAGAATCAGGGCTTTATGACGCATTGAATAGCTTTTGCTGTACAGAGTAAGGAGATTAAAGGGTGTGCAAATAGCTCTGATTAGATTTAAAAAAAAAAGCATTGAATAGCTTTTGCTGTACAGAGTAAGGAAATTAAAGGGTATGCAAATAGCTCTGATTAGATTAACCCTCCCTCCTCACGAGATTAATACCAAGTCTCTAGATTCCAGCATTCCCTCCCTTTCTCCCTCAGTAGTTGACACCTTAAACAAAGAAGATAAACAAGTTAAGCCAAAATAAACAATTTCAGCACTCCAGCTGAAATAAGCAAGTAAAGTAATACAATACATTAGGAGACCAAGCGTATCTGAATACAACATGGAAAAATTGAGAGAGATGAATAAACACCCAGAAAACATAAAGGACACAGAATTTGAGGACCTAGCAGACAATGATCATAGAATAATAATTTTACGACAGCTCAGTGAAAATCTATAAGAACAGAGAAACACATAACGATAGGTAGAGGAACTCAGGAAGAGATTCAGGAACAAAATGAATACTTCAGTAAAGAGATTGAACATATTTTAAAAAGAACCAAATGAAATAAAATTAAATATGTAAGGTGTAAGCTATCTGAAGAGAGAATTTTAGAAGTTGAAGATACAAATACACAAATGACCCAAGTGAAAGGAGAAAAACAAGATTTAGAAGAAATGAATAAACTCTAAGAAATGTCACACTCCATTAAAAGAGGAAATATAAGATACTGGGTATTTAGAAGGTGAAGAGAGAAAGAGTAGAGTTGCTAAAAACTTTTCAAACCTGGAAGTTCAAGAAGCTGAAAGAACATCCAATTTTAAATGTAAAACAACCTTCACCAACACACATCATTGTCATATTATCAAAAGTCACAAATAAAGAAAACTATCAAAGACTTGGGGAGAAAAAGAATATTAATCAAAGGGAACTTGATTAAACCTTCATTGGCTCTTTCAACAAGTACACGCAGTGCTAAGAGAGAGTGGAATGAATTATTTATTAAAAGTTGAAAACTCAGCCAAAAATAATTGATGTTTCCAATATTATCTTTCAAGGATGATGGAGAAATACTTTCCCAAACAGCAACTAATGGCGTATATACTACCACTAAACCTGCCCTACAAGATACACTAAAAGAGTTCTACATGAATAGACAAAGTAACAGAAAACCTTAACCAAAATAATAAGTGGTAACACAGAATTAGAACTATAAACAAGGATAGTAAGAGAGAAAAACTTTGAAGGGGAGGCAGAAAAAGACAAAATCTGTGCAGTTAAATGACAGTAAATCAATGCCAGCAGCTAAAAGACTATTTTAGATAGAGAAGCTAGGATGCAGTACTCAATGGTAATCACAAAATAAAAATCTAGTATAAAGGGACTTAGAAGAAGAAATTAAAAAGACTGAGAACCACCAAGAAAATCCAGCCAGAGGGAAAACTGATAGAAACATGTGGAAAAAGATACAACAGAAAAAGAAAACAATCATAAATAATAACAGCAAATAATACTCACTTATCAGTAATCACTTTAAATGGGAATGCTCAAACGCAACCAATCAAAAGAAACGGAATTGGATAAAAACGCATGAGCC